GCTCTCCCTCATGGCTTAGCTTGAGTGCTGCTGCTTTTCTGATGCTGTCTTTGTCCCCTTAGCTTTGGGATATTTTCTCTTTCCTAGTGAAATCCAAAGCACGTAATCTCCATTCATCATTTGATGTTATATACAAATTACTACATACTTGGATTTGGTATCAGGTCCAATTGTATGTGCCTCTCTGATTTGCTCCCCCTCCCCCCGTGTTACATCTTTTCTCTTCTGTAAGTCTTGAACCATAACTTCCTTTGTGGCAAGGGCTCTGTGGGTAGCTGTTCTCAGGGCTCACTTCCTCCACATCACAAGCTCACTGCAACTATGCAGTGTGGCTGTTGTGACCTCCGCTGTGCTCACGGATGTAGAACCACAGCAGGTCCAGCACTTAAGTGATACAGAGTCTTGGTCCTATGGCCAAGAAGAAGCAAGATGGAAGCCCAGCTAGTTTCCCTGGGTATGAATTGCCTTAACTAGGTTCCTGGGGCCTTGAATGTAGTAGCTAAAGACAGACCAGGAAGGTTTCAGGCTCCATGCTTCCATTAGGCTGTGTCCAACAAAGGCAGCCCTGGAGACAGTGGATCAGTTGAGTTTGAACTTGGAGTTAGCTAAGACCAGGCTCACAGGGCTATGGCCTTGCTACTCCATCAGAACTGAGATAAAGACCGTGTTCAGGGATTGATGTCTGGCTTCCCAGAGGGACCAGGTAACACAACTTATATGAACTTGGACTGATGAGAAAGGGAGACAGGAACAAGCCTACAGATCAATTGCTCTCCTTCCCTCCCCATATGGTTCTAGCTTGCATGTAGCATCTGGAGGCTGTCCATGTGATAGGCAGGATATACTTGAAGTTGAAGATGTGACCAGCTGGGAGAGGACCACCTTCTTTCTATTCGCTATGTTTTGATACTTTACTGTCGTTTCCTCCCACTCCAGATTCCAATGTGTTGCACTTCTCAAAAAAACAGGGTGCAAATGTTGCCTAATTGTTTGCTTCCTCAGGAAGCATGCCCTGAACATTTTTGCCTACCATCTCTCTATTTTCCTTCTCTCCTCCCTTTCCTTTCCCTCTCATTTCCTCTTCTCCTTTGGTTTTCTCTGTTTTTTTCTTTTTTCTTTTTTTCCTTCTCCTCTATTAGTTATTTTGTTCAAAAACCAAATCATAGAAATTTGATTTTTTGGGGGAGGACTCTCACATTTCTTCATTTTTGAGGCTAAAGCCCTAAGGAATCATGGTGGCAGTAGTCTTCTGAGTGGGATTCAGGATGCTGAGCTTGATAAAATATTCTTTTTCTTTTTTAGAGACAGAGTGTCACTCTGTTGCCCAGGCTGGAGTGCAGTGGCACAATCATAGCTCACTGCAGCCTCAAACTCCTGGGATCAAGCAATCCTCCTGCCTCAGCCTCCCAAATATTTGGGATTATAGATGCCCAAACTTGACGAAATAAATGTGGGTACACCCAAATTTTAAGTGATCCCCTGGTTTTATCTTTGTTTTCTTTATAAAAAAAGGTTCCCATAACCTTCTATCACATACAAAAGTTATTTGATTAATACATTTCAGTTGGCAATGAACTTTGCAGTTGCAGTCCCAGTAAGAGAAGTGATGGGGAGCTGGCCATTGCTTCGAGCTGCTCCACAGAGGAAAAGACCTGTTCCTGCCTTCCCCTGGAAGATGGGGATAGTGGCATCTTTCCTTTGCTCTATTTTTATCTCTCTGGTGGAAGCAGTTTTAAAAATGCTAAAAATCCTCTACCATAGCACTGGGGAGCTTCACAAATGTCTGACATGGCCACATAGTCATTTGTGTATTTGTGGTGTGTGTGTGTGCACGTGTGTTTGTGGTGGGGGAGTGGTAGTAGGTAGAAAATGACCCCCAAATGTCCACATCTTAATCCTCGAAATCTGTGAATATGTTACCTAACAAGGCAAAAGGTAGTTTGCAAATGTGATTAAGTTAAGGATCTTGAGAAGGGAAGCTTATTGGATTACTCTGGCGGCATGTAATCACAATTGTCCTTATTAAGAGGGAGGAAAAAGTGTCTGAGTCACAGAGAGAGATTTGAATACGCTATCCTGCTGGAGGGAGGGGCTATGAGCCAATGAATGCAGGCCACCTTTAGGAGTTGAGAAAGGCAAAGAAATAGACTCTCCCCTCCAGCCTTCAGAATGAACTTAGCCCTATACCTAGACACCTAGCCTTCCTGACACCTGGATTTTAGTCCTGCTAGACTTTAGACCTACAGAACTGTAGGACAATAAATCTGAGTCATTTTAAGCCACGAAGTCTGTGGCAGTTTGTTGTAGTGGCAGTAGAAAACTAGGGGTGGTGGTGGTGTTGAAATATTAACTTTTGGGTTACTTGTAGTTAATTAGTTAAATATAGTATTTGTTGAGCTTCTCCTCTGTGTCAGGCACAAAGGTGAATCCATAGTCTCTTTCCCCTTGGAGCCTGCAGTCTGGGGAAGCAATTATTCTAGCAAGTTCTACAGTTCGTAGCTGTATCAAATAGCCTGTTTTACTGGTTGTTTAGGATATTTTGGTTAGGATATTTCTTTTTCTCCATGTGAGTTTTTTTTTTTTACTAAGAAGTCATTTCTAATTTAAACCTTTGAGCACTTTGCATTTATCATGTGGAAAGCATGATAAGTGGATGCTAGGGAGATAAAGATTCTCTTCAAGGGGCTTCCAATCTATTAGTAAAATTGGAAAGCATCTAAAATAGACAACTAACTCTACAGGGTAGTGTATGATTTTTAATAGAATGAGATTAGGCCAGAAGCAGAGCCCAGGATTCCTGGAGTCTCCTGTCAGCTGCCAGCCTCTGTCCTAGATAGATACCATGTACAGAGCCCTGCAGATAAGGAATCCTTTATTACCTATAGACCTAGTTTCTCTGGAGACTCCAACACTGCTGCTTGTCTGAATCATGCCCAGCTTCAAGCGCTCCCTGTATCCCTGTAAATTTAGACTTAGACTAGAGGTAGATCAAGGTTATACCAAATGCTGATCTTGACCTGATAAATTTTACTTATAGCCTACACCACACACAAAAGAAGGCAACCCTTTTAAATCTTTTTAAAAGCAAACCATTCACCTTATTTTCATTCCTCCAGCTGAGCATCTTCCTCCTGTGCCCTGTCAGCTCTGTGCCCCAATTATATCTCTGTTCTTCAACATATTCCTGGACCATCTGGCAGGGTCCAAGGATATTTTTTTAAAAGTTGTCTAAACAGGAGGAGAGAAGCCTTGGGATTTCCCTAGAGGTCAGAGTGTGTGACCAGCCATGCTAAGGGCCTCAAGAGACTCTTGCAATTTCAGGGGATTCATGGATCCCACGGGAGGGATATACCATGAAGTCAGTGGGTCACAGAGCCTTTCATGGAGGAAGGGAATGACATGTGCCCCAAAGGACATGGAGGATTTAACTGAACAAAGTGGGGGGAGCACTTTCCAGGTAGACACCTGGGGTAAATAAATGGAAAAGTGGGAATCTGTAGTGTGTAGGGTCCAGAACCCATTTAGAACTAATTTCATGCATGCAATTCTAGTTACCTGATTTGAGCCTTTCTTAAAATATGACTGGTATTTATAGGATAGTGCTGTAGCCAGAGTTCTTGGAGTAAAAGCAATTGTATCGAGAAATCTGGGAAGCCCAGGGCAGGGATATGTTCTTAATCCTTTTTAATTGGAAGTCCCTGAGGAAACACAGCTGTCTGAGCCCTATATTCACCTGCAGATTAAATGAGACGAGTATTAATTGACAATTTCCCTTGTCCTTGGTTAAGAAGCCTATTTCATAGAAGAACGTAATGAAACATCTGCAAGATGGCATGGCTTGCAGTAGTTTACTCTGATTACACTGTTTATGTACAAAGAGAAAAGCAAGCAGCATAAGATAATGTAGGTAGGCTTCAATCCCAGGAATTTATTATTTGAGCAATCTGCTTAGTGAAAGAGTAGATGATCCTTCTTTAAAAAAATTTGCAGATTTTTCTTTGTACACAATTTGAATTAAACCCCAATAAATTTGTCTGCATTGGGTATGGAAGAGCATGGAATGGCAGAGCGTAAGCTGTCATGGTCTTAGGTACAATGTCGAGTAATTAGTTAATTAAGAATTGATATAGACAAGAGTCCCTACGTGGGATATTCCATAAATTATGGAGAGTCTTGGAAGATGCTGTTTAGATCACACAGAAAGATTTATTGTACGTATTTATTTATTTATTTTTTTTAGCATATGTGGAATACCACAATTAGTGTCTCATTCTTCTGTGTCTGCCACACTTTCCACTTTTTTTTGAACAGGGTTTCACTCTGTCATCCAGCTGGAGTGCTGTGGGGGGATCTTGGCTCACTGCAATCTCCACCTCCCGGGGTCAAGTGATTCTGGTGCCTCAGCCTCCTAAATAGCTGGGACTACAGGTGCATGCCACCACATCCAGCTAATTTTTGTATATTTTTTTGGTGGAGATGGGGTTTCACCATGTTGCCCAGGCTTGTCTCAAACTTCTGACCTTGAGTGATCCACCCGCCTCAGCCTCCCAAAATTCTGGAATTACAAGCATGAGCCACTGCACCTGGCCACATTTTCTAGTTTTCTTGTGCTTCCTACTGAATTAAAATCTCTTTTAGTGGATGATGCAACCTTAGCTATTACCATTCATTATCATCTCAGATGGGATTAGCTGACAATGGCAAATTGATAATGAAAGTGCACATCCTGTAAACACAGGTGGAAGGACACACAGCATCCAGGAAAGAGAGACCGAGGGAGCCAATGTCACAATTTGGCCCAGGGCAGTGAATTGTCTAACTGGGGCCCTATGTATCCTATTAAAGCTTGGATGGTCAGCTCAGGTACTTTGGTTGCTGGCAACAGAAGCTACCTCAAGCTAATAAGGAGAGAAAACTAAAGAAATGTACTGGAAGATACGGGATAGCACACAGAACTGAAGAAAAAGATGAATAAGAGACTAGCGAACAATACAGTCAGGATGGCTAAAGGTGACCCCAAGAAACCAAAGGGCAAGATGTCTGCTTATGCCTTCTTTGTGCAGACGTGCAGAGAAGAACATAAGAAGAAAAACCCAGAGGTCCCTGTCAATTTTGCAGAATTTTCCAAGAAATGCTCTGAGAGGTGGAAGACAATGTCCGGGAAAGAGAAATCTAAATTTGATGAAATGGCAAAGGCGGATAAAGTGCGCTATGATCGGGAAATGAAGGATTATGGACCAGCTAAG